AGGTGCGCACGAGGGCAGAGAGGCTGGTATACGAGCGAAGCGCAGCAAGAGATCTCCGAAGCGGCTAAGGAGATCAAGGCGGCCCAGCGGCAACTGCGTGGGGCCTCAAAGAACAGCGCCTTCGAGGCGACCCTGAAGGCGATGCTCAAGGCGGCGCGGAAGAAGCGCAGCATCGCGAGGTGGAGAGCACTGGAAACGTTCTTCGAGGGCTATGTACGGCAGCTCGAGAAGAAGAGCCGAGAGGGGGATCAGGCGGGTTTCTACAGGCACCTGAAGATGATCGACGTCAAAGGTAAGAGGTCGTTCACCTCTCAGAACATCAAGTACGAGGACGGCAAGGTCCTTTGGGATCCCACGTTTATTCGCCAACGGTGGGCACGGTGGTTCCACAAGCTTCTCAACACCAAGTCGCCGACCATCGACCTGCATGCGGCTGACAAGGTCAAGCGGTGGCCCACGTGCGTGCCACTCGACGACATCCCATCTCTACTTGAGGTTGAGGAAGCGGTACGGGGAATGGCCAACAGAAAGGCCGTCGGGCCGGACGACCTACCGGCTGAGCTGATCAAGCTTTTCCTGGACGGAGATCAAGGTCTCCTCCGCGAATTCCACGCCATTGTCGTGGACGTGTGGCAGACTGGGGACGTACCACAGCAGTGGAAGGATACCACCATCAAAGTGCTGTTCAAGAAGGGGGACACGATGGAGTGCGGCAACTACCGGGGCATCTCTCTCGTCGCACACGCCGGCAAGGTGATGCTTAAGGTCGTCGCTACACGACTGAGCCACTACTGCGAGCGAGAGGGCATCCTCCCGGAGGAGCAGAGCGGTTTCCGCCCACACCGGTCGACGCTCGACATGCTGTTCGCCATCCAGCGGCTCCATGAGCTCGCGAGGAAGAAGAGTACTGCGGTGTTCGCGTGCTTCGTCGACCTCACCAAGGCATACGATTCGGTAGACCGAGACCTACTGTGGGACGTGCTCCGACGCTTCGGCGTGCCCCCGAAGATGCTGGCGGTCATTCGCCACTTCCACGAGGGCATGAGGGCGCGCGTCCGAACGGACGACGGGCAGTACTCGGAATGGTTCGACGTGGGCCAAGGCCTCCGACAGGGATGCAACCTGGCCCCGCTGCTGTTCAACTTGTTCTTTGCCGCGATGCTCATGGTCGCCGTGGCCGAGTTCGACAAGGACCCCAAGGTGACGGCGGACATGGTCAAGATCGGGACACAAGTGGAGTACACGGGCAAGAAGGGCAGGTCGGCGGGGAGGAAGACGACGGTGGTGACGGACGCGGAGGCCTTGTAGGCCATGCTCTACGCTGACGACGCGGCCATCGTCTCGCGCTCGCTGGAGAGTCTCGAGAAGATGATGTCGGTCATCGTGCGCGTGGCCGGCCTGTTCGGACTGATGGTGTCGGAGCCAAAGACGGAGATCATGTGCATGCTGCCGAAAGGGATCGAGGAACGCCCGTTCACGGTCAGCGCCGCCGGCCAGACGTACAAGCAGACAGATCGGTTTGTGTACCTCGGACGTACCATCTCCGCGGACGGGAAGGCCGACCGGGAGATCACGAGCCGCAGCTGCCGAGCGTGGAAGTGCTACCGCCGGAACAGTGCTTCGATGTACGACAGGCGACGGGCCAACCGCCAGCTCAAGATCCGGCTACTCCAGGCTGAAGTGGTGGAGACTCTCCTGTATGGGTGCGCCTCGTGGAGCCTAACAGCGGAGCACTACACGAAGCTCAATGGGACCCACCGCCAGTTCCTCACACGGTGCATCGGCTGGAGCAAGCGGAAACGCTCAGACCGCCCCCTGTCCTATGCCCAGGCCCTCATCCAGGCAGGCTGCGAGGAAACCATCGAGGCCACCGTGCGCAAACGGAGACTGTGTTTCGCGGGCTTCGTTATGCGCATGGAGGACAACCGCCTCCCCAAGCGCATGCTGTTAGGAGCGATGGCGGGGGGCGTGGGATACCGGGGCGGGCAGGAGAGCGACTGGGTGTCTCGTCTAGGAGAGGACCTCGTGGCCTTCAACATGGGAGACGAAAAGGAAGGGGGGAAATGGAAAGAGAGCGCCAAGAACTCGGAGGTGTGGTACAACAAGGTCGAGGACGGGGCGGCATGGTTCATGAGGAAATGGCACAGGCAGGAGGCGGAAGCGTCCGCGAAGCGCCAGCGCGCGAGGGAAGCAGAAGCATAGAGTACGACCATCTCAGGACCGAAGAGAAAGATAGCCGGGGAAGCGGCGGTGGGGGGGAGGAAATGGCGACCGGGCACTGCTGTAGAAGCGAGTAGGGCGGCCGAGGCAGCACTTGTGGCAAACTACGTACCCGGCTGATGTTATTGCGCCCTGTTTCCCTCCCTGCTGTATGCTATACTCCATTATGTATGTCCGTTGTATTGCCTTCGACCTCTGTGCTCTGTTTCTTTTTTTCATGACCTCCCTGCCTACTCTGCTGTATTGGGTACCTTGATCTCGCTTTGCTGTTGCCTTTGTTTTTTTACGTCTGGCTGTCTGCCCATCTGCCGCCTCTTTGTCCTGTTTGCTCAGTTACTCTCATGCCCTGGTGCGTAGTGCCTGGTGCTGGTACGTTACCCTTTGATTTTTTCTTTGGGCGGGTGTGGGAAGCGTCCTCCTTTGTTTTTGTTATTGTTTTATTTCTGATCGATTTCCGAGGGCTCTTTTCTCGAACGGTCGGTGCGGTACCTGTTCTTTTCTATCATTTTGTTTTATTTTTCCGAATGGTTTGTACCCTATTTTTGTTTTCTTTCCCCGCGGCGTCGTATGGTCCATCCCGGCCGGATTTTCCACAATTCCATCTGGCACTTAGGTGCACTTTTCTCTGGACACAGCTGGTTGTTCCGAAATCTGAAAGTACCGGCAAACGCCCTGTTTCCAGGCGCATCTCCCTATGGAAAGCGATTTTTATTTTTTTCCTCCGTTGCGGCGATTTTCCAAATAACCCGAAAATCTTGCTTAGTTTTTCCTGGTGTGTGTTTTTTTCAGAGCACAATTCTGAGACCGGATTCGGACAGCTCTCGAAAATCCCCAGGGGAACTTTCAATCCGACTTCGATTCGAGTAAAAAATCAACGAGTTATCGAGCAAAAACCGGATTTTAGGTGTCATTTTGCTTAGTTTTTACCGTGACATCCAACCGTACGATTTCAAAATAGACCGCGGCAATCGATTCTTCTCGACAATCCCCAGGGGAACCTTCTTTCCGATTCCCGAAAAAAAATCCCGTTCGCGAGATATTTGTAATTTTGCGACGTGGCTCTGCTGGCTGAGAGGATTTTTTTCCCCGGGCACACAAACCCACAGAACAAACTTGTGCGCGGGGCGCAATCCACCCCCACACAACCTGCAACGGCGCTCAGCACCCGAAACTCTGATGGGTCGGCTGAAAAAGCGCGGCCGCCGATTTCAAAGGGGGAGCAAAGGCCACTTCCAGCGGCGTGAACCTTCTCNTTCCCGAAAAAAAATCCCGTTCGCGAGATATTTGTAATTTTGCGACGTGGCTCTGCTGGCTGAGAGGATTTTTTTCCCCGGGCACACAAACCCACCGAACAAACTTGTGCGCGGGGCGCATCCACCCCCACACAACCTGCAACGGCGCTCAGCACCCGAAACTCTGATGGGTCGGCTGAAAAAGCGCGGCCGCCGATTTCAAAGGGGGAGCAAAGGCCACTTCCAGCGGCGTGAACCTTCTCCAAGCCCGCCACCACCACCCGAAAACAACACCAGTCCTGTGGCGCCACCACCCGAAATCGATGACGACGAAGACAACAACGAGGACAACGAGGATTCGCGCGACGAGGACTGGCGCGACGAGAGCGCTGCTGCCGCCTCATGTAGCGGTCAGACCATCCTGTCTTTAGGGTCCGCTGCTTCATGTGTCGTGGCTGCAGCAGCGCGAACGGTGGAGAGTGTCTGTCCCGAGGTTGCGCCGCTTCGGAGTGCGGCGCAACCTCACCGCTCGACAGTTGCCCGACGCAAGAAGGCTTCATTCAATGCTGCGAAGCATGGGATGATGCGGGGGATGGCAGCCTTTCTGAAGAGAGGAGCTGAGGAGAAGGCACAGCAAGCATCGCCTCCGGTATATTTTGAGAAAGGAGTATCCATATTTCCGAGTGTTGGTTGACACTCCTTGTAATACATACACACACATGTACACATGTACATGTCATATTCATTTGTACACATGTAAAAGAAACGTCACAGCAGAAAACAACCCTTGGCCACCACACGCACACGTGCTCTCGCTCGCCCCCGTTAAATACGGCGAAGCGAGTAGACTGAAAACAGAACACCAACACGCTCGTCCACTTCCTGCTTTCTGATTGGCCAAGGTTTATTTCTGCCGCTTCTCACAAAACGCAGATTTCC